TATAAATTAATATAGGTTCTTGTTCTTCTTCTTTTATTTCTAAAAACAAAAGTCGTCACAGGTAAAGGAATGGCTTATATCAACTTTGAGCGTCACAAGTTTTCCTACCTCAAGGTCACCAGTATTGAATTGGATTATGTTATGGATGACAGTGACTGTGGATTTGCCTGTGTTAATATTCCATCATGTTTCTCTTTTAATCTGGCCGCATTTCAAGATACGAATGGCAAAGTTCTGTGCGAATTGCTTCCATCGGATATCTACAACAACTCAGACAAGCTTATCCCTTATCAGAGTCACCATCACTATAGTATCGCAGTAAGTTGCAAATAAAAATTGTTCACTCTGTTTCAAAACTAAAGTTTCAAATGGAAAAACAGTGGAATTACACACGATTTCGTGCGTATGGAGTAGGGTTGATTGCAGAAATAACGAGAGAGGTAATTTGAGCGTAAAACTCGTCAAGGATTTTGGGTATTAGCGGGGAAAGTCACCTAAGGAATGCTGACTCTATTTGTAGAGACGGCTCATACTAATATTTATTGTGACTGTCGAGCTTATTCCACATCACCCGCGTTTGTTTCTCATTGCTGTATGTTTTCTTTAGTCTCCATGTATCAGTTGGCCTTGTCAGAACCATGGGAAATGCGCTCCACAGTACGAGAAGAACAGTTACGTGTGTGTTTGCGCGAGAGGATACACTGGGGAACATTGTGAAACGGGTAAGACACAATTAAGTGTACATTTACAAGACTGCTTCAAACTTAACCGACGGTATAATTCTATTCGACAACAGGACACTGCCCCAAATCTTAGTTGTTTACCGCTATCCTACTGTCATCGCAAATTTCCATATTCTCCTGTTAATTTACCCAAAGGTTAATTTCACTTTTCCTTCAGATATTGACGAGTGCAGTACTTCCATTTGGCCTTGTGACGTTAATGCAGACTGCCATAACACTAACGGCTCCTACAGTTGTTCCTGTAAAAGCGGATTTATTGGGAATGGAAAAACATGTACAGGTAAACTCTATTTGTTGTTAATCTGTTAGTCATAAAAATGTGAAATGCGCTGCACAGTACGAGAGAACGTGAAGTTACGCGTGCCTTTGCACGAAAGAATACGCATGGGAACATTGTGTGACTGGTGAGACACAATTTAATGCACGTTTCATTAACCGCTTCAAACTTAGCTAGTAAGTAAGTGAGTTTATTTTAACAGGGTAGCCCATTCAGCAACGAGGCTGGTATCCATAGGGGCCCTAGATAATACAGATATGTACAATTTAAAAATTTAAAATCAGAATAAAAATTATAAAAACTCTAAATAACATTTAAAAGGCTAAAATATAAAAATAGATAAAATGTTTATAGATTTCTAGAGGATAAAAATTACAAATAAAAATGTTTAATCATCAAACTTTTAAAATTACTCAAGGAGGGGGCACTCTTGACATAAGCGGGTAATGCGTTAAAATAGATTGTTCCTGCATACTTTAAAGTTCTCTTGGGGCAGGTCGTTTCTTCTTCGAGTCGCATGATTATGAAAAGCACTATTCCTTGCTAAAAACTGAGTAAGATATTTTGGAACCAAATTATTTAAGCACTTAAAAACTAATGCATTTATGAAGTTTCCTTCTACAGGCTAAACTTAACCAGTTAAGCACGTGGAGAGTGTCTTTTGAAGTTTTCCTCCGAAGAATAATTCGAGCCATACGATTTTGTAAGCGCTGAAGCTCTTGGCAACATCCGTTCTGAGATTTCACCCTAAGCGACATCGGCATAGTCAAATCACATCTGCCCGAGTGAAGTATATACCTTTTTAGGGGCTTCCAGTGTGAGACATGATCGTAAACGATTCAGAAGCCCAAGTTGACTACTGACTTTTCTACTCACATACTCGATGTGATCTTTCCAAGAAAGTGTTTCATCCAATACCACACCCAAATAGTTAAATTTGGCTACCCTTTCTAAGACCTTTCCGTGTAGGGGAATACAAAAATTAGGTTATTTGGCTAAAGCTTGTTACTTTCCATCCATTCCACTAATCGATTTAAATCATCCTGTACTTCCTTATTTATCTCCAAAGTGCAAGGACTCGTAGAGTATACCACAGTGTCATCCGCATACATATTACTGAAACAGTTTTCTGAGCACTGGGGCAGGTAATTTAGGTATAAACAAAAAGAAGAGACCCTAGAATTGAGCCCTGCGGAATGCCAAATTGGATAGCTTGGTTGGAGAACAAGTCCTTTCTAAAATGTACCCTTTGTGTTCGTGTCGTAAGATAGTCCGGGAACCAATCCAGAGTGCTTCATTTGACTCCGTAGTGTTCTAACTTGTAGAGTAAACATTCATGGTCTACTAAGTCAAAAGCTTTTTTCAAGTCAATTTACACAGCGCTAGTAACCATTTGTCTATCCATGTGATCCAAAATAAAATCGGTAAGATAAACGTCAGTCTGCAGTTTCCCTGGAGTGTTTCTTGTGGAAACCTGATCGGTGGATGTACAGTTAAAAAAGCCAAGAATTGAACCTGAATAGCACCCTCTAGGATCTTTGATACTTGGGGAAGGACTGAGATCGGCCGATAATTATTCTCATCGTTCCTTGTTCTTGATTTAAAAATAGTTGTGTTTTTTCTTTGGTAAAAGCGCATTTAAAGTTCACAATTCCCGCGAGTCTTGTTTTTCACTCAACTGGTTTGAATAATAGTTTGCTTTTCCTTTATGAAGTTTCATCGACACAGCATTTCGCAGCCTTTTGTAACTACTCCAGTGAGGCTCATTGCTAGTATGAATAGCTTCCTTGTGATGATAATCACGCCTTTTTCACCAAATCTTTTACAGTGGGTGTGATCCATGGTAACGATCTCCCGCGCACACGACGGGTGACAACTGGCGCGTTCAAGTGTCAGCTACTGACATCAAAAAATTTTTAAAAGAATTCCACGCATTACCTAGATTTGACCCAAATTCAACAACATTCTAAGGAACACGACTCAAGACTACTCTGAAAATTTCAAGATCATAATAGATATGGTTTCTCACCTTAACTGTCTTTGGTGGAGAGAGTTTTATTTTGTGAGGCGTTCTAATTCCAAAAATGGCGCGGTGATCGGAAAAACCAACCGAAATTATACAGGAGTGATAAAGTTCGGGCCTTGTAGTGAATAATAAGTCAATTATAGTTCTGGAATGTTCGGTGATTCTTATGCATTCAGTAAATAATGATTTGCGCCAACTGGAAGGTACTGGTGATAAGTAAGAAGTTCTTTGCTTTCGGGTGATAGCCAGACGAATTCAAAGCCATGTCAGTTAAAGTCCCCAAAAGAGTGACTTCATTGTCATCCTTTCCCAGGAGAATTAAGTTTGCGGCTAAGGTGACATCAATTAGCCATCTGGCAAGAAGAAATTTTAAACTTGCCGCCATCCTCGATCCTGGCTCGCGACGCGGCTTGACTTGTCGGGAGGAAGAAAAGTTTACTCTCATTTAGTTGCGTACCTATCAGCTTCCAAACACGAAACGTGGCCATCTTCCGAAGGTATTTGGAACTTTCTTGAGAAATGAAACACCATTAGACAAGTTAGGAGGTAAAATACCACAGAGTCAGATGAGCACAACCGACTGGCCATTATGAATTTCTAGCTCTCTAACATATTTCTCTTTCACGACCGGAAAATGACTCAGAGCTTAGTTTTTTACCGCATTCCTGTCGTTAACGTATACTTCCAAACTCTCTTGTTCATTTAGCCGACAATTAATATCGCTTTGCCCTTGCAGATATTGACGAGTGCAGTACTTCCATTCGGCCTTGTGACATTAATGCAGACTGCCACAACACTAACGGCTCCTACAGTTGTTCCTG